AGTACAGGTGGTCTTCCATCATCGGTCTCCGAAAGTAAAGTTATTCGCAGTCAGCTTGCATATGTCTTTGTCATGTGAAATTTCACTAGTCTCTATCTCATCTCATTCAGAACCTGTCGAACCCGAGCTCTGATACCATTGTTAGGAACTTGGTTCCCTCAACTTGGCACGGAAGCGTGTCGCAAGTCAAACGTCAAACTAGAAGCTCGGTTTTCAATCAGAGGTCGGCCTGAATCACCAGGTCGGCTAAGCACAGAGAAAACAATAAAAATACAGAGGAGAGAGATAAAGAAGAGCACAACAGATTTTTAATGTGAAAAAATATTTTCCAATGTGAAAAAGTAAAAACCCACAGGACACTAGTCTAAAATCAAACTTCCACTATGAAAATAATGGGTACAAGATATCAAATTTCACCAATAACTATGGTATTCTCAAACCTCACCTACAATGGTGGTATTCTCTCAAGCTTCCCTAAGGAGATCTAATATCAAGCTTTCCCTATAAGTGCTCTCAAATTTCTCTCAAAAATGTCTAACCCTAAGCTCTTATATAACACAAGCTTATATATGACAAGAGAGAAGTTTCTAGCATATCAAAAGTGGAGATTAGGATTTCTTGAGCCCCACAAAAAATAATATTTGGCCTTGTGCAGCATTGAGGAGGAAAAGCCCAACACAAGGGACATAGTTTTTTACTTTCGCGGCTACTCTGAAAGGTCAAAAGTGATGTACCCGACAAAGTTATAAAGTATAAACAGCTCAATATGTTTCCACTTTATTTTTCATATATTTGTCCATCATGAATGGTGGGGTCTAAATTATTTTCTTACTTTGAGACTCACGTGAAAATTAATGGCCGATCAAAAAATTTTACGGTGAGGAAAAAATAAAAAAATTTAATTATAAATAAAATATTTATAATAAAATATAAATTTAATATAAAAGCTCAATTTATTTTTATAAAAATTAAGGTCAGTTCACTTAACTCTTATTCCACGGTAAACTCTTCTATTATTGAATGTGTTAAAATTTAAAATAATTTTTTCAATATAAGTAAAATATTATAAACATAAGCAAATGAGTTAGGAAAATTTCTCTATATGAGCTAATAATTAATTTTTTTCACTAGTTTTTTTTTCAAAATGTAAATATGAAATTAAGAAAACTAACAAGTTAATACATGAAAATATCTTAGTTACTATTTTTTTTTTGTGGGTGAAAAATTTGCATTACTATATTACTAAACATTGAAGTTATGAGTACTAAGTAGTTGTAAATTGAAATTACTGCATTACTATTTCACATTAAGAAGCTATGAATCTAGTGAATGACTATGTCAAATGATAGAAAAATATTAAGATGTATATTTATGTATCATTTTTTTTAAGAAACAGAAATTGTTTTCCTTTAATTTAAAATAGAATAAGTTAAGATTAGAACCATAGCCAAAAAAGCTTACCTTGTCGCGGCCTACAGATTACAAACCAGTGTTTGTTGATTTATTATGCAAGAATCACGAAAAACTGGTTTTTTAAGCAAAGGAAACAATAACTCTACCACACTTTTATTCAAAGGAAACAAGAAAGAAAAGAAATAGAGAGAAACAATGGCTAGTTGGGTTGGAGATAGAATTTTCTCTAACTTTTTTTTTTTAATTTGAAAGAGGAGCTAACTTTTAACCATAATAACCTATCAATATTATCAAAATATTATTATTATATATATATATATTAATAAAATAATTCAAAATTTAGGGAACGACGGTGGTCAACTCTAGCCTCCCTAGATTCGTCTATGGTGAAAATGTAACATATAATGTTTTTTTTTAAACAAAAGTTTAAGTAGGGTTAGAGGGATACATTTTCATGCGATAGAAAAGAAACCAATTTCATAGAAGATTCATAATAAAATTACATATCATCTATCTTACACAAAAGTGAAAAATCAAATCCAAACCACGATTACTTAGAACCTAGGTTTTTTTATCCTTCTAATGCGATCTTTGAAAATATTTATTGGTTTAATTTCTTTTAAAATTATTTACTAATCTAATGCGAAAAGACGTACCATGTACATCAATGTGTCGTATCTAAAATGTTCATGAGTACAAGATGCATCCAATGGTAAAGCATTTAAGGCGTGCTGGGATTTACCATGTCGCACAAATGCAACATTTAAATTATTTAATAAATTATTTGTATACATTTTAAATTCATATATATGTATATCTATTATTTTAAATTGATGATATATATTTATTTATAATTTATTTAAGAGAGATGACGTCCGAAGACACATATGTTTCACATGCCACAGGGCGAATGCACCATTACTCTCCGGGATGTGGCAGACATACTTGGCTTGTCTTCATATGGCTGATAAACTCTTAGTTTATCATATTTTAGAGAACTAAAATTAATCTTATATCTAGTTAAAAGCCTAAAATACTTAGAGTTATTTAGCTAAAAAATATTAACTTTGAATTACCGATTTATGTGAATGATTTTTGCTTGTTTTGTAGGGAAAATGAGTTGAATTGGAGCAATGGTTAAGCTAGAATGACTTAAAGCGATACATGAGAAGCAACCATTTAGTGAAAATTTCTCTTAAGATATCTTCCGGCCAATTTTTCATATCCAAAACGATGGATTTTGATCTTGTGTTGCTCATATAAGTTGTAAATCTCTCTTTTATATTTCCAACGAAACCAATATCACATCAATGAGACAAGTTTAGCTCAAGTTATGTCCAAAATATGAAATCATATTTTTGTTGTCAAAATAGCGCGCTAAAAGGCGCTTTAGTGCCAGTTACAACCCAATTAAGGCCTATTACGTGATTTTCACCTGAAATAAGGATTCATGCACCTATTTAAGCTATTCTTCATGAGTCTTTAACAGTTCTTGACACCAAAGGCATAGTTTTCACCGAAGAAGCGCGATCTTCATGCTTTTGAGAGCCGGAGACAAGATTATGCTGGGATTCTTGAAGGTTCACCGCGCCATCACACCACTGGAGTTTGGGGAAGCCTTCTTGATTTCTTGTGTTCTTGACTCTATTATGTTAGGCTAGTTTTCCTTTGTAGTTAGGGTTAAATGGAACCCAATCAAATCTTTTTGTTATGAATGATCTTTAATGTTAAATTTCCTTTTTATATTGAATAAATTTATCTTTTCTTCATGCTTTCTATGAGTTTAATCTTGCAAATTATATAGGGCGATTATATAACAATTGGAATGTTGGTACATGAGCCTTACATGATAAATTAATCGTAATTCTTGTGATTATAGGAATAGACATAAGGATTATGCAATATTTATGATTCTTGGATTTAATGCTAATTTTCTTTGAAGAATAACCGGGGAACTAGAATTCTTTAAAGAGAGTAAAGAATTAAGATGTCAAGAGATTAAACCTTAACTAACTTAGGGGAATCGATTGGCAATATGAAAAGGACGTTTAATAAGGGTTTTAATTTATAACATAGAAAGGAGATTGAGGGAAATCAAAACATTAATTACGTTTTTCTTGATTGTTAAACAACTCATACTTTATTCTCTTGCTTTATTATTGAAGTTAGTTTTCATTCATTATTAGTTTTCATATATTATTCGCAATTAATTGTTCAACTTAGCATTATTAGTGAACTGACGATTGAAATTCTAATCCTCGTGGGAATGATCTCGTACTTAATACACTTTATTATTTTTACGACATATGCACTTACCAAAGTCGCAACAATGGCTGACCGTGATAGGCACAACGTCTACTTCATAGAATGTTGTCATTCATGATATGTTGCGTTTTTATCCTTTACCACGAGAGCTCGAGGGAGACTATTTGCAAATGTCTTTTCTAGATTGTTATTATGGTCATTGGGCAGCACACAAGGGTGATCCAGATAAAGAGCTACATATACACTCGCCTATCTATCGTGTCTGATTGATGAGTTTTGATTGTGTGACAAGTAGTTGAACAAGGTAACTGTATGGTATATTAACTTTCTTGGAGGGAATTTCGAGGAGATAACCACATGTAGTGGGCATGCGACAATGCCTGCATATGTGTATAGAGAGTTGTTAGACAACGAACTCTACTCAGAAGGAAATGAGTGGTTGTTCTACATTGCTGCAATTATTGGCTTGGATCAGATTCGTGCCCATTGCACATATTATTCCACATGCATCTATCGTGTGTGTGTCTATGTCATGCATCTGCTTATTGCGTGTTCAGTAGTAGAAACGCGCATATCGTACAAACGCGTCTTAATGCGCATGTCTTAGCTGTGCTTCTTTGTATGCAAGACGAACGTCCTAGTGTGCGCATCTTAATTTGTCGCCACATAGGATGTGGCTTCCTCCCATGCGTGTCTTTACACATATTGTCACAATGCGCATATTTTCATATTAGATTGTAAATAGTTTGCCAAAAAATAAATATTTTCAAAAATGGCATTAGAAGGGTCAAAAACCTTAGAACCTAATGTTGCAACTGTTGTAGGCATGAGTATTTTTTGTCCAAGCATTAGTACAAGTGAGAAATTTTGGGACAGTAACTTCGTATTTTAATGGTGCAAATGAATTCTTTACATATATAAAGTTAGGTTGTATTGTTTTTCATTTTATAGAAAATAAATTTATTTTTTACATATATAAAAATATATAAAACCTGTATTTTCTTTCTTTTTTTTCTCCTCAATCGGGCTCATATGGACCGTGTGCAGAAGATAAATTTATTAAACCCATAAAGTTATGTTAAAAAAATTGGGTAGCCCCTCTCACAACGTGATTACTTGGTATGCTACCGTGTATCATGAGATATTTTTTAGTAGACATGGAGAATGTGATTTGTTTCCAAAATAGAAAAAAAGGAAGCGATTAAGAGGGCAAAATCAAAAAGGAAGAAACAACAATGGAATAAAAAATTTTCATTTATGAAAAATTAACTATTGAATAAGTGGTAGGCTAAAGCATATTAAATTTTACCCTGCGTCACTGGCTGCGTCCTGTTACCTCTGGCACACAAATTTATAACTCCTTCCTATCTCTGAAGTTCAGAATACCTTTTTCATTTGTTTGTGGCTGAGCCTCGAATCCTCCATCTGCTGAGGAAAGGCTTAGTCCACAAAGGCTCACAATTCACAAACAAGTTGCAACATGGCTGTGCACAAGGATCTTGATCAACCTTTGCTAGCTTCTAGCAACCCATCACCACCACCACAACCTTCGTTTACTCGATCATTCAGCTCAAAGCACGAATCAGATGGTGAACTTGAACGAATACTCTCAGACACGAGTGTCCCTTTTATTCGGCGTCTTGGACCGGCTACATGGGTTGAGCTCAAGCTACTCTTTTTCCTTGCTGCTCCTGCTGTTATCGTGTATCTTATCAACTATGTCATGTCTATGTCCACTCAAATCTTTTCAGGCCATCTTGGTAACCTTGAACTTGCTGCTGCTTCACTCGGAAACACTGGCATCCAAGTCTTCGCTTATGGCCTCATGGTATACTCACTTTATCTCCATATATATTTAGTCCAAATATTCTAACACTTCACCTCTGTAGTGTTTCCTATTTGTCTAGAAAATTAATTACCTATATATTTATACCACATATAATCTTCCAATGGTTTTTAGAAATAATATACATTTCAGATAATGGGAAAGAGACAATTTCTAGTGGGGGCTTCTCAATTTGAAATTAGTTATCAATTTTCATAATGAAACAGCAAGGCTGAACTGGTGGTAAAACTGTTCTTTTGTGATCGAAATGTCACAAGTTTGAATCTATAAAATATAAGGATTGCTTTCACCTCACTCTCCTTAGTGCGGATTTAACTTGCAAGTGATTTATCATTTTTCATAATAAATATTTGTGATTTTTTATGAACATGCAGTTGGGTATGGGAAGTGCTGTTGAGACGCTATGTGGACAAGCATTTGGTGCAAGAAAGTTTGAGATGTTAGGCATATACTTGCAAAGATCAACAGTTCTTCTTACAATGGCTGGTGTTGTTTTGAGTTTCATATATGTCTTCTCCAAACCAATTTTGATCTTTCTTGGGCAGTCTCCAAGAATTGCATCAGCAGCTGCAATTTTTGTATATGGCCTAATTCCTCAAATATTTGCCTATGCTGTGAACTTCCCAATTCAGAAGTTTCTTCAAGCTCAGAGCATAGTGGCTCCGAGTGCATATATATCAGCAGCAACATTAGTGATCCATCTTGTGTTAAGTTGGGTGGCTGTGTACCAAGTTGGGCTTGGTTTATTGGGTGCATCATTGGTGTTGAGCTTGTCATGGTGGATCATTGTGATTGCACAGTTTGTTTATATTGTGAAGAGTGAAAGGTGTAAGGAAACATGGCGAGGGTTCAGTATGCAAGCTTTTACAGGGTTGCCAGAGTTCTTCAAGTTGTCAGCAGCATCAGCAGTGATGCTGTGCCTAGAGACATGGTATTTTCAAATTCTGGTTTTGCTTGCAGGGTTGCTTCCTCATCCTGAGTTGGCTCTTGATTCCCTTTCTATTTGGTAAGTGATTTTCTTTCTAGCTATTTTTAAACACTTCAGATTAATTATTCAGTATTTCAGTTTCAACATGTTATCTTATGTGATATGAATTGTTGGGAATTTAAAGGAGTCATGAACTCTCATATTAAGTAATTAGGAATATGCTAAAGGAGTTTCATATAAGTGAAAACATTGATAGATTCATTGGCTTAAATTTTTTTGTGTTACGAATATTATAAAAAAAAATTAGGTTGAATTAGAGTCATTCTTGGCGAGGATTTTTGGTTTGATATAATAGGGATAAAAACTGTTTAAAATAAAATAAAATAAAATAAAAATAGCTTGTGGTCCTGAATATACCTCGTGGTTGGTATAAATGAAAAGATAAAGAAAGGGTATCACTCAAAGTATGAAAAATCGGAATATTGTCATAAGGGAGGAAAAACCATACCAATAATCCAACCACGTAGCAACATTTTGGGTTGATGTACTTTATTGAAAGATCTTATTATACTAAAAAATAAATTGTGGAAAAAATTTCAACCGTTAAAAAAAATAAAAAAACTGAAATATTTTTGCAAAGATAATCACATTGTAATAGTTTAATCTTTTTTCAAGCACGCCCCAGACCACGTTTGGCTTGTTGCACTTTATTGAGTAGCTAGCAGGCGGGGCTGCAATGAAAACTGGTAGCTGTCTTTGTGTTGTTCAAATTCAATCATTGCACCTTTTGATTAATGATATTGTTGAGCTGATAATGACAAGTAATAAATATTTTTTAAACTATTATATAAATAAAGTAATAAATATTTTATTTTTATTCAATACTTATTTTATTATGTATTAAGAAATTTATGCAAAAAAATATTTTTTAAAAATATTACATGGCTCATTTCTTGACCACGCCGTTCCGGCACGCACTTTAGAGTTTTAATGAAAGAATAAAATGATATTTCAATATCAGAAAGCCACCCTGGTATATTTAATACGAGAAAAGGAAGGAGATCGAATAAACTAAAATTATTATATTTTTATTTACATATTTTAATGATAGAATAAAGAAAAAATTCATTTTATTATTTAAAATAATAAAATAATAAGCTAACTGTACCCTATATTTTTAAATCAAGAAACAAAAGAAATATCAAATCAAATAAATGAAATAATTAAATTTTATCGTGTTATGTTCTACCTTAATTTAAATATCTCAAATAAAAACAATTAATCTAATTTTATTGCAATTTTTCTGTGTTTCATTAATTTCCATGACTGCCAGTGCCAAGTGCCAAATAATAGCTTAGGTTTCCTATTTAAATATTCGAAATCATGATTGAACCAAATGATTGGTTAATACTTTTTGAAGGGAAATCAAACTTAATAAGACACTGTTTCGATTCAAAACAAATCTGTGTCCATCAACATCTGGATTCAACTCGTGGGCCTCTTTAGAACGAGCCTTTCCTTTTAATCTTTGGGTCCACCAAAAAGACAGGCCGATGTGATCTTGTGTTCTTCCTTATTGTCATGCTCAAACTACAGTTGGCTATTGCCTCTAGTCTTATAACAACGACCTTAATGATTCATATTTTAAGTCCAATGTTCTTCAAAAAACAGGTTTTAATTTCTGTTTAATTACCATGTCTTCTTTATTGCAGTACCACAGTATCTGGATGGGTGTTCATGATCTCGGTTGGATTTAACGCAGCTGCAAGGTTTGATTCTGTTCCTTTATATTTAATTGCTATAACCATTTTTCTGTAATAATAGATAAAATTATCTCATGCAACTCCAAAATAAATGCAAATGTATGTATTTTGATAAAATTCATAATACAAGAAGAAAGTAAATTTTTTAAAATATTTTTTTTTCTTTCTTAAATCCCAAAATAACATTATTTTATATTGCTGAAAATAACTTTATCTCATGTTAAGGAGAAACATTTCTTTCGGAAAAAAAATGGCAGCATGTGTCATCTTTTTCATAAGTTTAAAATATGCATTTATGGTTGGGGGTTCGAACCTCAACTCTTGTGAATGGAAAGCATTCCGTCTTTACCGCTTTGTGTGCTGATCCGGAGAGAGGGATTAGTCTCATGGCTATCGGCTGTGAGGATACCCGGATGTAATCCAAAAAAAATATGCATTTATCTTGAGAACAATTAGCAAGTAAGAGCTTATTTTACTTGCCCATCAAACTGTAACTAGTTTTATATTTTCAAAATTCACAAAAATTTCTCTATTTTCATTGCAAGTTTCAAGCTAGAGTGTCATAATGAAAAAGGTGTTGCTTTGACAAACATGCAGTGTGAGAGTGAGCAACGAACTAGGAGCAAGAAATCCAAAATCAGCATCGTTTTCGGTGGTGGTGGTGACATTGATTTCTTTCATAATATCGGTGATTATAGCACTAGTGGTGCTTGCATTACGGGATGTGATTAGTTATGTCTTCACAGAGGGTGAAGAAGTAGCTGCAGCTGTCTCAGATCTTTGCCCCCTCCTAGCTCTTGCCATTGTCCTCAACGGCATTCAACCTGTCTTATCTGGTAATTAATTAACTTATAATATGCTCAAACCTCAAAATTAAGTTCATATTCTATATGCTTCTAAATCATACTTGCAAAACTTTGATTAATTAATTATATAATATAATGGGGAAAATATTTTACATTTTAAATAATATAATTTTATATCATTTTAAGTAAAATCACTGTGTTTTGGTGCCTTTTTTTTACCTTTTCTCTTCTTTACAATACTCTCACTCTTCTTTACAGTACTCTCACGTTCTCTCTCCTCCTAATTTTGTAGAAAAGAGAGAATATAAAACCTTACTAAAAAATTAACAAATCATATTAATTTCACTTAAAATAAGATAAATTTGTGTCCTTTAAAATAATAAACAATTTTTCCAACAATTTATTATACCTAAGAGTAGGGGTGTAAATGGGTTAGGCCGGCCTACAAGGGCCTATGGTCTATAATCTATATTAGGCTAGGCTTGGCCTATTATAAATAGTAAAATAGAAGAGACCTAGGCTTTTAAAAAACTTATTTAGAAAACAGGTCATGGGCTTTTTTGTACATGTCGAGCCTATAAGCCTACAGGTCGGCTTATATCATATTATTTATTAATATTATTTTAGTTATTCTTTGAATTGTTGAATGTTTAATAGGCTTAAACATGCTAACAGGCCTAGGCCAAGGCTTTTATTTTTTAAATATAAGTCAGGTCAGACTTGTAATTTGGAGCCTACACAGGTTAATAGGCCAGGCCATACCCAATATTTTTTACACAGGCCTAGCTTATTTAAGCCAAAGTCTAGCCTATTTACACTCCTACCTAGGAGTTTATTTTTATTTTGTAAGTTATTTTTTGTGCATAGGCATAATCTTCTTAATATATATTCCACTACTAGAAAGTTAGGAACTAATGAATGCAGTATAAATGTGTGAAGGGGTGGCCGTTGGATGTGGATGGCAAACTTTTGTGGCGTATGTAAACGTTGGTTGTTATTATGGAATTGGCATCCCATTGGGTGCGGTTCTCGGTTTCTATTTCAAACTCGGTGCTAAGGTATGTTGATTAATTGGGGTTATTTTTCTCACCCTAAGGTTTTGATTTAATAATGCAAGAAAAGATGTTTGCACACGCTCGTATTGAGGCTGGTGTCTGTGTAGGGCATATGGGTGGGAATGTTAGGTGGCACGGTTTTGCAAACAATTATTTTGGTTTGGATCACATTTCGAACGGATTGGAATAAAGAGGTAAAAACTATAAACAACCCTTTGCTGCACTTGGGATCGTTCTATGATACTATCTAATGATAATTTTATTGATTGTAGGTTGAAGAAGCAGCTAAGAGGTTGACCAAATGGGAGGACAACAAGGAGCCACTTCTCAAGAATTGAAGCACTTCGTTTCCCAATGTGGCTAGGTCCATAACTCCATAAAATACTATACCTACTACTTAAATAATAAATAAATGGACTCACTTAAAGGTGTTTACAACCATTTTCTTAATAAATAAGACGTAAATGCAATTTGTGAGTCTATTTGTTTCTAATTTAAGTGATGGTATATGTACTGGTCAGTGCAAATTTATCCCAACTCAGGCTCCAAGGATTTGATGAATTTTTACTTTTAAGCTTATTCAAGTCTTTTGTTTTAGGTAAGTTTTAACGTTGGCTAGATTATTAGTTTTGTTTTTTATTTTATTTTTCATATATTTATATTATTGTAACGTAACTGAAAAGTGAAAATAAAGTTGATTTGTTTAACTGTTTTTAAAAATTATAAAAAAAAGTTTAACTTTTTTTTTTTAGTCATCATGAAACTCTCCTATGTTATGCACGTACGATCAAACTGCCCTTTTAATCTTAATGAGAGGTAACATATAGCGTATTTTTCTTGTTTCATTCCAAGGATAATAATAACATAAATGATCAAACTGCCCTTTTGTTGTTGATTTTTTTTTTTTTTTTTGAATAAAATGACATTAAAGATAGGTCATCAATATATCCATGGTGCGTTTATTCCTTAAACGTAAGGGATTACACCTAATATAATATCGTGATTTGAGATTTAGGCCATGAATTCTAAGAGCGATCATGAGCAAACAAAGGTAACAAAATAATTTCTAACATTCTCCCAGGCTATATTAATTAATTTAATATTCTTTTAAAAATTATTTTATTTTCAAAATGACTCTATCAGGTTAATAACCAAAAATCTTTTTTTTTTTTTTTTTGAATTATTTGTTGTTGAGATTTTACGTGACCACAATTTCAAAAAGCAATATTCCAATTTCAATTTCAGTATCTCAACACAATTCAATCCAGCATAACTCTATCATAGGAACATGGCGATCAATATACTGAAAATATCTAACATATGACCTTTCATACTCACATACAATAAGTATTACATCTTCATAAATCATGAGCATAGTAGTGTAGTAAGAATTAGTGCCAAAATGTGATCAATAATATAACACATTAATTATTATCGGTCCCCAATATAATTTCTCAACAACATGAAATTACATTAGTGCAATTTTCAAACAACATGAAACTACACTCTGTAATGCAATTTCTCAACAATATGAAATTATATTATCGCAATTTTTAAACAATATGAAATTGCCTTTTCAATCTAATTTCTTAACAACATGAAATTGAATTAATACAATTTTCAAACGACATGAAATTGCTCAGGTTAAATAAATCAACATGTCACAATATAACATGAGATCTCAAAATTTGTGACATTCAGTCATCTATAAACTCATATCATGTCGCAAAATTTGTGACAGGAGAAATAACAATAATGATGATCATCAATTACAAAAATTCAAACAAATATCGCAAAATCATCATTAGTTTGCATAGAAAATTGACTAGAAAAACAAACTGAATATGACTCCTACTAGTCAAGGAAATCCAAAGAATCTAAAAAACTCAAAAGCAAGGCTTGAGTATAAATCCCACTAATTAAGAGAATCAAAAGAATCTAAAGAACTCTTGTTCTATACACAAAAGATGTACTCCAAGATCTTTCCTATCAAAGCTTTTTAAGCTCTTGTTTCATTCAATAAATCAACATCATACTGGAAAATAAAATGTCATCTACATAAAGTACTAAGAATATACATCTACTCCCACTTATTTTCATGTAGATGCATTGGTCAAATATATTTAAATTAAATTAAGAGTAAATATCTTTTTTTGTCCTCAGCAAATTTCATAATTCCCGCTTTAGTCCCTAGCAAATAAAAGGCTATTCTTGGTCCCTAAGAAATTCAAAATGGACCAATTTAGGTGAAATTGTGGTCCCTCACAAATTCAAAAAAAAACCCACATTAGTCCCTCAAAAGGACTAAAATGGATCCATTTTGAATTTTTTAGGGACCACGGCCTTTTTATTTGCTAGGGACTAAAGCGGGCATTGTGAAATTTGTTGAGGACCGAAAATGGTATTTACTCTTAATTTAAAGGATTAACAAAAAATTCACTTTTATGGCAAAAGGAATGCATAGGAATAAACTACTGGGCAAATACAACTTTAATCAAGGCAATTTATAACAACGATGTTAGGAATGTGGCTTCCATACTCAAGAGGGGGTGAATTGAGTATTACAAAATTTTCGCAAAAGCCCCATTCTAGTTTCTAAATAATCATTTCAAGCAAACTTTGATATGTGAAAAACTAATCAATACATTCAGACAATCCATAATATATAATATATCACAATTGTAGAATTTATACTAGCACATACAAGATATCAAAGAAACAATTAAAGTGCTAGAAATAAAGAGTTTAGAGTTTAGAGAATTGCAAACACTATATATCCTGGTTCGGTCACCACCACTTGTGACCTACGTCCAGACTGAAGCCGTTCGATCAACTCTTTCACTAATAGTCAAGCTTCACGGGTGCTTGACAAACCTTTACAATCTTCCAAGACTTCGGGTTCTTGGATACCTTTCAATCTCCAAGTTTACGGGTACTTGGTAACCTTACAATTCACTCCAAATTTACTTAGGTATTTGGTCACCTCTCAAACAATGAGTCTCACAACCCTTTCAACTCAAGAATACAAGGAGGGAAATATTTAGAAATGAATATACACTCTCAAATTGTGGATATACAACTTGAAGCACTATGGGTATATGAATTTTCAAGATATGAGCTCAAATATGTTTGATCTTTGAAAGATATGAAAGAATATGCAAATGATAATGTAGAAGCTCTCAAAGTATGCTTAATATGTGTAGGAATGGTGTCCAATAATTTTTAGAGTCACTGAGAATGCATATATAGTGTTTCCAAAAACTAACCGTTTATAGCCGTTAGGATCACTTTTGAAAAACTAGCCGTTTTATAGTCGTTGGGATCTGTTGCAGTGGTAATCGATTCCCAACTTGACAACAATAACATTGTTTCGTATTTTGGCTATAATTTGAGTTATACTTGTCGGATTGATGTGATCTTAGTCTTGTTGGAAAGATAAAAGATAGATCTACAACTTTTATGAAGAACAAAAGATCCAAATCCATCATCTTAGATACGAAAAATTGTATGGAAGGTAGCAGCGAAATTAAACACAAATTTTAAGTTCAAATGTGTTCTAGCTTGCTTCCAACTACTTTTGTGAAAGATCTTGACTTGATAAATATATTTTGAAGTTATAAAATATGTCAAGGATATTTTCCATGAATTTTTCAAATTTCTTTCAAGTATATAAAGGTTATGATTATGCAATTTGAAAAACACATTTACTTTGAGAAAAACTTTGAGCTCATGCAATGCAATCTATCATATACCCTCACATATATTCTAAGTCCTAAAGATATATTCTAAATATGATTTTAGACTTAGCTTCATGTCTTGTGTCTTGGATCTTTTCTTGAACTTGATGCTTTGACTTGTTGAATATGACAATGCTTGACACTTTGTTGGTTTTGATCAATTTTCACCATAGTTATGATATTGAGCTTCTCTTAGATGTTGTCCATGGTTAGTTGTCTTTGATCTTGTTATTGTTCTTCTAATTATTCCTTATTTCTCTTGATCCAATGATCTGCCACTTTGATATGACATCACTCTTTTTGTGTGGCTACATCGTACATCTTCAATATCCACATATGGTTGATGCTTTTTGCTCTTGATAAAATGATCTTGCCTTTTTGTTGTTGCCACTTTGTTATCATCAAAACATATATTGTATCTACAAACGAGGCCAACAAAATAATACATTTCCCTTTAGTCAGAATGCATATACCAAAGTTGTAACTAAGGTCATAACCTCATATGAGTTATTTAATAAGCACAACAGGTTATCAAAGTTAGGCCAACATAATAGTACATTCCCCTTTGTGCGAAATGCATTAGACAAGGTCTAAACCAAGGTCAAAGCCTCATATGAATCAATCAATGAGCACAACATTGAATTTTAAAATCTATCCCCTTTTGGCAGATAGATCTTTAGACCAATGAGCCTCCGATAATTGCATCTATAACCTTAAAACAAACAAAAAATGCTCAATGAGCATACGTTGGCTTCAGAGATTTGTCCCATTTAGGCAGACAAATCACCTACACCAATGTACCTCCAATAACTTCATCCCAAACAAATTCACAAGTTCTTAGTTATAACACACAATCACCCCTTTTGGCATGAAATGCATTAAATAACCAGAGTCATTCTTCAAATGACATAGAAATTTCCATGAACTAACACAAGAAATACCACTTTGGTGGTAATCACCCAAAGCAATTCGGGTAAACTCTTGCACATATTGCCGAAAATCATGATATAGTCTATGAGAAGTTGTATCACCTTCACTGATCATGAATTCAAATACAATAGAATTCTCAAAATGGTTTTGTACTTAAACAGTTCAAGCAGAAGCATACAACTCAATAAATAAAAATATTCCATAAATTATACATATGCTTTTTTTTATAATTTGACATAGTCAATAACTCTACAATGGAATGGTTGTTGTTAATGGCAAAAATAATTGATTGACATACAAAATGCAACAAGATTAAATTTGGACAACAACAAAATAATTTATATATCATAAACCCCACTTTGGACAGGGAATATAATATACAAATATTTTCCATCATATGAAGATTTGAACAAGGAGAATTACATACAATTATAAAATAATATCCCCTTTGGGCAGACGAACTTTTAAATTATACATTTTTCCATAATATTACATGCAATTTAAAAATAATTCATCCCCTTCGGGAAGATAAATACTTTTAAATCATGTATTGCCATCAATAATTTCCCAAGATTATTATATATAATAACCCTTTTTGGGCATGTAATTAACATATAATAATTCAAAATAATAAATTCACAACAATGCCCAACAATATGAAACACTTCACAACATGTGTTTCTAACAACATGAAACACTTCACAACATGTTTTTCTAGAAATCATATTGCATTTGTCAATCTAACAAATTTTGCCATAAAAATTCAGCACTTAACATTAAAGTATAAGACAAAAATTACTAATTATTCTTAAGTAAGAGAGTGACAACAACCTAAGTCAATTTGGGGAAAGTGAATATTGTCATCAAGTTCACCACTCGACATAATAATTTTCAGTAATTTAGATTCTCAAAATTCGGGCATGTATATATATTTTTATTTAATTAACTATAGAACAGAACATAGTAATTCCTTAAAATATATATATTGAGTCGAAAAAATTATAACAAATATACCAAAAAATTTACAAATGAGCACTCACTTTCCCTCACTCCCCTCACGCTGCGAGTGTGATTTTGTAACAAA